CAGAGATCGCGCCTTCCTCTTCTTTACAACAAGAACCTGGGGCACGCATATTCGCTTCCATTCGGTCATCTTTTTCTGCGAAACCGGCGTGGAAAAGCAAAGTTTTGCTGACCAAGACCTGTATCCACCTGCAGAAACAGGAGAAGGCAACCTGGATGCATTACAGTCGCGGCGCTGGCGGCTGCTGGACTATGTTATTGCCGACAGGACGCGCTGGTGACGAGTGCAATCAGAGATGCTGATGGCTGAACGGATCATTATCTCATCGGCTCCAAGATTAGGCTCCAAATGCAAATGCACAAATAGCCACAAGGCAAGCGACCACTGGGTAAGGTAAAAACTATTCAGTTCAAGTTGTCTGCTCACCGTTTCGATTTCAGCAAGCAACTGGCTTCGCGAATGGAAGGCCTAACACTTCTAGAGGATGGCGGCACTGTAAAGACAACGCGCCAATGGTGGAACGTTATCGAATTGACCATCGTTAATATCATAACTAATTTGACGAAGATGATGCCAGGATCAGCAACCTATTCACCTAGAAGAACCAAGTCCTACATGGAGCACGCGACGGACGCCAGTAAAACGGACTTCCGCAAATGTCCCGGCCTCCTGCAACTCCAGCTGTAAGATATGGGACAACAATTCTGACGGTGTAATCACATTCAGAAGCGCTGAGCCGATCACTTCAGAAGTCTTCTCATTTGCTCACCAACCATCTTCAATGTTACCGTCGACTGCTGTCCCCAACTGGAAAGGACTAATTATCTGGATCTTCCGCCTTCTCTACCCAGATTTAAATCCCTCATTTAGATCAAGGGGGCATGAGCCCCCGCGTTGGCTTAATCAGCGTCACTTGTGACAAGTGGTAGCGTCATCGTTAGTAGCAGTACTACTACACTTTTTGAGGGAATTGAGAGATTGAGGGGATACGAATCCAGTGCTGACTTTAATCAGTGTCACTTCTGAGTAATCGTTTATACAGAAACAGTACCAGCAATACTATGATTCAGCTACACCCCTAGCTAGTAGTATTAGGAATAGCAGTAGCAGAACCACTCTTGGTTTCCTTGAGCCTGACTTGACGTTTACTTAAGGTGGGTGAGGGTAAATAGTGCAGTGGTACCAACTAAACCTACGTAGGCGGTGTTCTGGCCTGCATTGCTGAGAGCGGCCTACGCCCGATTCCTACTCGGTCATCTTGACTTTTGTCTTGTCACTGGTTCAATCGGGGAGAGGGTTTAGATTGAGGGGGACAGCTACGCATCAATTTCACTTAA